GCTTGTGACAGGCATTTCCAAATTGTAAGAGGCCTTTAAAAATAGTTCTGAAGTTTACAAGATTAATTTTGTTTTACAGTCCCTGAATCCATTTACTATTGCACTATTATCTGTTCTCAAATTAATAGAATGCATAAAATCAGAATCTAACCATTCAAGATACATTATCATTTTCCAGAGACTGCAAAAGAAGTCCTTTTCTTAGATTTAATTCAGAAACCTACTTTGCATTTTATAGACCTTTTCATCAAGAGTTCAATACATTTAAATATTAATTCAAGCCTTACAAACCTTCTGAAATAGCTAATGTATAACCACTTTAAGAGGACTACTTAAATCTCTGGAGTGTTTTTTTGTTTTTTTCTATGTAGCTGTCAGCTACAAATCATTAGATCCATATGTAGCAGCAGCATATATACTTTCAGTAGTAAAGAAAAATTTTCCTTCTTTTTTAGAAGTGAAGAAAAATGTCAAAGTACTGGCAAAGATAAGGTGGACAGTCCGAATGGGGATGTCAGGAAGAGCAACCTGAGAAAATGCTAGACCTGAGAACAGTTAATATGGACACAGCAATATATACATGTGGGCAGGTGCAAAGTGGAAGAAAACAAATGTTAAAGAAATTAACCACAGAGGACCTGATACTTTTTTTTTTCCTAACACGGGATTATTTTGTCAAATTTTTGTGTTACTTTCTGCTGTTGTGGTTTTTTTTTTTTTTCTTTTCATTTTCCTCAGGCTTTCTGATGCTTTGAATGGTTGTTACTGAAGCTCTTTTGTGCTTGATCAATTCAACGTTATGCCTCTCTTTTGGGGATCTGGTTATTGACAGTCCTTTCTTGTTGGGCTATCAGGTGACTTGACACCAGCTATATGGTGGGACTGTCCCAAGGCACCACCGTAGGATGTAAATCTCTAGTGACACTTTAGTGACTCAGAGGAGAGAGAGGATTAATCTGGCTGCAGTCTGGCCTGAGGTTTTGCAATTACTGCAGACCTGCCTTAGGTAAAACACACAAGGCTACGCCACTGCAATGCTTAAAACATTTCAATAATTTCTATGGAAAATTGATCTTTTATATTTCTAGGTTGTTTTTTTTTCCAAATTAATTATTGTTCTTTTACACCTTTTATAAACACTGTTAATGTTCTCACTGCATCACAAATTAACAGGATTTGACTCTGGTTTAATATTGCTTTATTGCCATTAAGGAACTACAGCAAACAACCAGACTCTCTCTCATACCGGCATGGTTTATATTTATTAGAAGACAATTCTTTGTGGTAAATCTTCATCCCGTTAAGCACTGATTAACTTGAATGGAATTAGTCTTTGTCCATTTATCACTTTTTCTGTTACTTAGTACCTTGAGGCCTGGTCTGTGGTGGCATCATTTGAACGAATCAATCTGTAAATGGAATGTGAGGGAGGGTCCTGGTCCCTGTGAACGCCCGGGCTGGAGACACCAGACCAGTGGTGGGGGAGGCAGCAGGGGGGGTGACCTGACCTAGCCGCAGCACCTCACTGCTACCAATAGGGACAGACATCATCTCCTCCTCTTCACCCCAGACTCCACTGTCTTCCCTGCTGGTTTAGCGTGGTACTATTTTAAACTGCAGAAGGGCCATAGTCAAGGAACTGGCTGTCTGAACAATTTCGTTCATACTGTGTCCAGTTCTGGGCTCCCCAGCTCAAGAAAGATGAGGAACTCCTAGAGAGAGTCCAGGGGAGGGCAGCAAAGATGATGAGGGGACTGGGAGCATCTCCCCTGTGAGGAAAGGCTGTGGGAACTGGGCTTGTTTAGCCCAAAGAAGAGAAGACTGAGAGGGGATCTCATAAATACTTACCAGTATCTTAAGCGTAGATGTCACGGGGACGGAGCCAGACTCTTTGCAAGTGGTGCCCAGCGACAGGACAAGGGGCAATGGGCACAAACTGAAGTAGAAGAGATTTCAGCTGAATATGAAGAACAACAACTTCACTTTGAGGGTGACAGAGCACTAGAACAGCAGTATCTTAAGCGTAGATGTCACGGGGACGGAGCCAGACTCTTTGCAAGTGGTGCCCAGCGACAGGACAAGGGGCAATGGGCACAAACTGAAGTAGAAGAGATTTCAGCTGAATATGAAGAACAACAACTTCACTTTGAGGGTGACAGAGCACTAGAACAGGCTGCCCAGGGGGGCTGTGGAGTCTCCTTCTCTAGAGATATTCAAAGCCTGCCTGGATGAAGTCCTGTGCGATCTGCTCTAGGTGAACCTGCTTTAGCAGGAGGGTTGGACTAGATGATCTCCTGAGGTCCCTTCCTTGCCATTCTGTGATACTGGGTTTTTCCACTCTATTCTAAATTCCAGCTAGAGCTTAGGCATTTTTAAAAAGTTAATACACAGAGGCTAAGTATAGAAAATGTTACAACAAAAGTTTGTTACAAGCATGTTAAAAGCATTACTGAAAGGATAACCTGAAGCATTTTAAAGTTTTCTGTAATTCACTTTTTTTGACACCATAACCGAGATAGGAATAAGTACACACACACTTACCCACTTCTGTCTCTCCTCTTCCATTCTAAATTTAGCTGCTTGCTCTTGAGGATGGATTAGAACTGAATTTTCAGCTGCAACTTTATTTTCCAACATTTCCACAGAGTCTAAAATATACATGTTATTTAACTGTAAGTGCAGTCAGAAAGAGCCTCGGATCTTCTTTACATCTTGCTTTACAGTTTTGCAATCTCTCTAAACAAAATGCATACACTGCTCTTGAAAAGATTACCATCTCTCTCCCACTACTCTGCCTGTCTCCATGAGCTGGGAAAACAGTTTTTCATATTAATTAAGCCTTTAATGGCCCTTTATCACATGTCTGTCTTGAATATACAGCAATGGCTCAGCTCCAACAGGAAGACTGCTTCTACCCAGATTACCTGGTAGCCTAATAGCAAGATAATCCTGAGGAATAAAGAGCCAGACATTAACCTCTCAGAACAAAGAGGGTATAACACTGTCAGTCTCTGGGCAAATGATTTAACATTTGGTTACTGTATAAAAGCAAGTCTTCATCCTTTACTATCAGCTTCAAATAGCAGCACATTTTCCCTAGAGGCATGTTTCCACTCATGCTGCACTCTGCAATCCCCAGGATTTACGCTGATGTATCCATGTACATGATTGAACTGTATCACTTAATCTCCTTTAAAAAAAAAAAAAAAAAAAAAAAAAAGCACCCTATGAAAGAAAAAAAACCACAAAACCCATCCACAGCCAAAAAACCAACACAACTTAATCACTTCAGTAGACTTCAGAAATCCCACTCACCATACAAATTCACCAACTTCAACACTAGCATAACCAAAAGAGCACAAAGGATAGAAATGGGAAGTAACCCCAAAATTATTTGGCTATGAAACAAAATGGAATGTCTAATTGCTATAAATTCCAGTTTTACAATGAGGCTTTTCAGAATGATGCATAGAAGCAGAAAAAAAACCCCAAAACGTCAGACACATCAGCTCACGCTTGTCTTGTGCATTTCTAGCTGTGAATCTCTGAAGTATCTGGCTTTTCCAGTTCAACTGGTACAGAACTTCAATGCCCAATTTTGCACTGAGAATTTTATTCCTGGAGGCAAATGCCTATCAAAGAACAGCAACACCAAGTGTGACAACAATTTGAGTGAGATTTAAAAGATATAAAGGTATTTTGGACATCTTTCCTCCACAAGATCTTAACTGACAAGTTGGACGTAAGAGCAAAAACCTCTCCTATTTGTGGTTTCAGTAAATCCACAATGCACTGCAGGCAAAGACAACATGCCAAAACACCACCACTGAAAATCCATTAAACAGTTCTGTCACAGTCCACCCACAACAAATTTTGATTTATGTATTACATACCTTTGGCTTCACATAATGTATTTTTCTGTTGCTCACAGTTAAGTTCTAAATTACATGATGGTCTCTCTTCGCTAGCAATTGTGCCTGATTCAATAGTCTCAATTTCACTTTGAACCTCTTTCTCACTTTTTGATGTCCACTCCTCTTTTTGGCTTCTAATCTTGTTCAGCAATTTCTTTAAGGTAAGTTTTGACTGAGGTTGGTGAGCTTTTGCTTCTTCACAATCTATAAAGAATATATACTGTTAAGAGTTTTGGCTAATGAGTATCTTCACATCACAAAATGAACTTTTTTTTTTTTTTAAATTGCTTACACAGTTGGACAAATAGCTCAGGTATATTACCATGTTTCAAAAGCTTAATAATATTTTCTCTTACCTGCAAGAGAGAAGCAGTAATTTGTCTTTGCATGCTATAAAAGCAGGGCTAAGCTAGTCATGGTGTTTCACAGTCAGACCACTCCTAGACTGTTGCAGAAATAAGCAATACTATCCCCCCCGCCTGCCTGCTTTTTATCAGCACTGGCAACACAAGGCATCACAGACCAAACAACGGATTGCACAGCAAACAGATGTGGTAGAAATGCTTGTCCAAGTAGCGAAGTTCATTAACACACTTGTTCACATCACATCATCCTGTACATGCCACAGGCAAAGAGTACACACACACACACACGCGACTGCTGCAGTCTACTCACAACATGGAGCAACTCGATCACAAACCTGAGCTTAAAGGACATACAAGTAGACTTTCATAAAAGTCAAGCTTTAACTTCAAAATACTTCAAAGCACAAAATAAAAAACATATAAGTTCACATACCAGCATCATCCCATAATTTACACTAATTATACAGGAATTATTATGACTACTAACAATGTAGTTCTTATGACAATTAAAAATTATTCTCAGTATACTAATGAACTGAAGTATATTAGAAAAAAGTCACATTTTCATTTTTAAATTCATAATCATTAGAGTATTATCATCCATGATAAACATCATAAACCACCTGATACTGAAATACTTCACAGGCATTAAGAAATTTTAGTACTTAAAAGACATTTTACTTAATACTAAAGTTAATTTATTTGATATATTAAACTAAATCTCTTTATAATAAAACCAGAAAGTTTAAGTTAAATGTAAAGTTTAAAAGCTTTACTTTCTGATTCATTGGGGACCTCCTCTTCTGTCATCTGTCCCGATTCCTGTTGGGTATCACAAGCAGATTCTGGTTGAGCGTCACAAGCAGATTCTTGCTCCAAAGAAATATCAAGATCATTATCTCGAGATCTATCAGAAGGGGCTGGCAAAGGTTGTGGCTCAAACTGCAAAACCAGGTCTCCTTTCATTTCTAATTAAAAGAACACAATCACGTAAAATGACCAGTTTGAATAAAAAGTAAACAACGTTGCAAAACTACACCCATTGTACAAATCCCTAAGAAGTTCAAATACCAATACCTTGTTTCACAACAGATTTAATGCAACTTTTTTTTTTTCCAAAAGTGAAGATTCAAAATTGTTTAGATCATTAGCCAGCTATTAATTCAGAAATTCTACAGGATTTTCCACTAGAATATGCTACGCCATTCAAAATAAATGTTTATGTGATAAAAGGTTCATCTTTACACAAAAAGCAGCACACAGGAACAATTACTAGCAGGATCCCAATAACTTCATCAGGGAAAAGGTACACCCTGTCCTGGCTGCTCACAGGGCTGTTACAGGAGAGTGACTGATCCCATGGTCCAGGTATGAAACCCTAGGAGTCAACAGTTCTCCCAGATCACCTTACCGACTGAGGGGGTTACTGCCCACGAGGGGTGTGGGATACATGGGAAGATCATCTTGAGATTGCACGCTTGTTATAGATAACTAGGGGAAGAACCAAAAGGCAGGGAAAGGAAAGGATTGAGTTTGGGGAGAAACAAGTATGAGAAGTGTAAGAATAAGGGGATAAAAGGGGCCAGTCAGCACACTTGTCTGGCCATGCACTGTGCCTGACAGTCTGTCTTGTCTTCTCACTAAATTCCATTTCCAGGTGTTTTCCTGTGTGAGGAACTGTCTATTTTGTATGTATGTATATATAAGGGCCAGCAACTGGAGTAGGGGCCAGAAGTCACGGGGCACCTGTGTCCAGAGCACTGCCAACAACTGCAGAGACCAGAACGAGCACACATTATGTGAGTATGAGTATCAGCATGTGGTGGCCAGCAAATCGCAAGCTAGACTAGCCAGCGAGAACAGTAAAAGGCTTAGGAGCTACGTATCAATAAGCCGTAAGACTGGGTGGATGCTGGAGAGGCCAGGGGATCTGCAAGCTGGCTAGTGGAGGGATCAGGAGATCCAAGCATCCAAGCCAGCTGCAGCGGAGACCATGGGGTCTTGGGGTCAACTGAGAAACCTGCCAGTACACATGCATGCATCTCAGACAACTGGAGACGAGAGGAACCAGGGGTCAGCTACTCGGTAGACTGAGTAAGGTCAGATATGGCAGGGATCCACAGCATGCACGTGTCTGTGCATACATTCACATACCCAACCATGTCTGTGCAGCAACAACTGTAGTGGAGCAGCAGGCCTTGGGGGTTCACATGCCCAGGAACCAGCAACTGGGGAGGCTAGGGATCAAAGGTCAGCTGCTAGGTAGAGTGAGTGTCTAAAGCTGCTTACTGAGTGATCCATAGCACAGATTTGAGCATACTAGTGCATATGTGGACGTGCGACGTTACCTGGAAGGCTAGAGGGTCCAGAATGAATTAGTGGATAGACTGGGTGTCTTAAGACCTGTTACTGGGGGATCCACAGTGTGACAGGTGGAGACCTGGGATGCAGGGGGCAGCTACTGGGTAGACTTGAGTGTCTTAAGACCAACTGCTAGAGAATCCATGCTGTATATACACACGTATATCCCACTAACAGGTCTTCATCCTGATCAGCCAGAGCAGTGAACAGGACAAGGCCATTTGTGCTGTTTGTGTTTAATGTGAGTGCTGTGTTCTCTGTGTTGGCCTGTGTGGCTACCTCTGTGTGTGTACAGAAAGCCTGTTCGCCTGTGTGCCTACTGTGAGCACACACACAGCCTTGCTACAGGCTGGACCTGGGAACAGGCAGCTGCAGCAGCCTCTCCTCTACTGGGCTACCACATTCAGCAACCGCCAACAAATTACTTACTCATGTCTTCATTGTACATATCTTCAAATGCAACTTCCAGTTCTCTCTGTCTTTCTTCTTTTATTTCCATGCGTTTGTATGCAGGCACAAAAATTTGAGGTGGCATCTGCGCTACAAGCTGTCTTCTGCGCATCCGATCCATATTCTGCATTTGCTCAAGTTCTTTCAGTAGCCTTTCCCTATCCTTCAAGTATGAAGAAGGGATAACAAACATTTAGTGTTCACGTTCACACAGCCACATGCCAGAACTGATAAAATACTTCCATTTGGTTACCATGAAGTTTGTTTAATCCTTAATATTTAAAGTTAATTTTATTCTAGGAAGAAAGTGCTTCCTCAGAAGGCGGCTGTATCTGACCTTAAACCCAAGAGTCATCAATACTACCTAGAACATTTAATGTTAAATAAAGGATTAAACTGTACACTGGTAGCCAACTTCCCTCGACAGAACTAAACCTTCTATTTTACAAGGTAAATGAGTACTTCCTTTGGCAAGTTACTTTTGTTAGTATGCATTTCAGCAATTGCTACTTTTAAAGACATGAACTAAACACTCTTGCCACACTACAATTACATATGAAAGCTAATTTGAAGTTTGGTTGGGCTTTTTCTTCTCATCAGTAATATTTCCACCATTTCCCACTTTTGTTAGGTTGCTCATTCAGGGCCAACCATATCTCAACTAAAAAACAGGAAGCTTTTGCCATTGCTAGCCTCCAAAAATACTTGTGAAGCTAACAGACAGTAAAACAAATTTCAGAGCATAATTCTAGGTACAGAGACCTTTCTCAACAGTTCAATTTTTACTTCTTAAAGGAAACAATTTCAGTATTTCCAAGACTTACACACTAACAGAACCACAGTCTTTAAGTAAAAACTTTGAAGTTTTCCAAAATTAAAAAATAAAAATAAATCGTTGCCTTCTTATTAATACACTGTTTTTTTTCCCGTGAAGCATAGTGTAATCAACTCCAACTAAAGCTGATGTAAAAAAGCAGAACTCATCACCTATTAAAACCAGTTTATTTTGATGATTACCAACTGGTTAATAGCCCGTCAAACATTAACAAAAGTGAAAGGATGTTCTTCTTCTAACAGCTGGTCTTAATCTGTGTGCTGGAACATGTCCAGAGGAGAGCAACCAAGCTGGTGAGGGGTCTGGAGCACAAGTCATACGAGGAGAGGCTGAGGGAACTGGGGTTATTTAGTCTGGAGAAGAGGAGGCTGAGGGGAGACCTGATCGCCCTCTACAGCTGCCTGACAGGAGGCTGTAGGGAGGTGGGGGTCGGCCTCTTCTCCCTGGTAACAGATGATAGGATGAGGGGGAATGGTTTGAAGCTGCGCCAGGGCAGGTTTAGGCTAGACATTAGGAAAAATTTCTTCACCGAAAGGGTTGTCAGGCTCTGGAAGGGGCTGCCCAGGGAGGTGGTGGAGTCCCCATCCCTGGAGGTATTTAAAAGAAGGATAGATGAGGTGCTTAGGGATATGGTTTAGTGGTGGGATGGCAGGGTTAGGTTAACGGTTGGACTTGATGATCTTAAAGGTTTTTTCCAACCAAAGTGGTTCTATGATTCTATTCATTCTCCCTCCTTCCAGATAGCCAAAATAAGCAGTTTCATGGTTTTTAAATGCATTCTGAAAACTCCATTTAGTCCATCAATTTTCCTCCTCTAACTACAATTCCTTTACTAATCAGCTACCTACAACTTACTCAACACTGGTCATTTTGACATTAAAAACAGGCACAACTACTTTGCTTACCTGAGCCAAATGGACCTTCTTCAAGGCGTGACTTCCTCGGAGATGTGCCTTTTCAAGCTGCTCTCTTCTCTCCCTCTCTGCCTCTCTGTGTAGTTCCTCCAAACGCTTCCCTTCTTCTTCAGCAGCTAAGCGAGCATCTGGCTGGCAGTCAATCAATAGTTTAATTCATCAAGTTCTTTCTCATAGTTTAAAGCATATGTAGCAATAAATAAATGAATAATTCTGCAGCAAAAGCACTTTAAAAAGAGAGACATGCAATGCCATATGAACACCCCTGAAGGTTTATAATTCTTGGTTGCAAGAAGGGCCAAACTAGTTTTGTATCTTTGAAAAAAAAAAAAAAAAAAAAAAAAAAAAAGCATATTTGCATATTCCATAACTGTAGGTGTCAAAACGTTCTAGTTTTAAGCTGTACCTGGGACAATCATTTGCATGATTTATTTGTTATAGCAGAGTGGTTACTTTTCCTACAATACAAGGTAAAATGAGTAATATAGTCAGTATTACAGATTGACTACTTCTATCCTCATGGTTTTGCCTTAAGCAAGGGGTGGGGGGAAATAATAAATGCAGAAGCATTTTCATTCTCATTTGGGAAACCAGAAACAATCTGCAATTTTTAAATAAGAAAAAAAAAACAACTTACTAACATATGAAAATTGAAGAAAATACTTCAGTAAAAAAAGAAATAAATCATTGCACATAAGCAAGGCTACGAAGACTAACATTTTAGAATTTTCCATTACAAAGCTGAGCAAACTACAGCATTCTTCTTATTGTTTAGGCCTAGTCCTTCAAATGTTAATAAAACGTAGAACTTTATGAATGCACTGAAGAAAATATTCACAAAACCAAATTTATTGAGAGCACGCTCTGCTAGTCTGAAAAGAGGCTGATCCAGAATACGAACTTAGATTGTGGTGTCACGTCACCGATAAACCAAACTATTGTTTATTTAATTTTTCAGTAGCATTATCTTCATTCAGAAATTGCCTCTAAAAGCTAAGCTCTTGCTCCATCTCTCACTTTTCCAGGTCCTCCCCTTCTTCTGACTTTGGTCTTTGTCTGAGTGTACTGTAAACTTGAGTAAACTTTCCCATTTGGCAAAAATCTATTCATTGTTCTTTTCCCCCAAATCAGACTTCTGTCATTTTGGCAAGTTGAAACTGTTGACTGCATGATAAACACAAACACGAGGTAAAGACTGGGAGTACATAGCTAAAAGAGGGGAAGAGAAGAAAGCAGGGCAACTGCAACTATTAATTTACCATAAGCCACAAAGCAGAAGATTTGGGTGTCCTAACATTATGCCAGTCCTGTGAACTCACCTCCTTAGAGGTCTGTTCACTTGGGAAAGACTGTCAGGTGTGATCCTGCAAGTGACTGAGCACATAACAAGCCTTCTAAGTTTCCCCATCTAAGATTCTGAGTAGTGAGTTGTGTAATGGCTGCTTTATGCAGGTTTGTATTTTTAAAGAAGTTCTAGAAAAGTGAATTGCTGGTATCCAGACACTGTATGCAACATCATGAAAGGCACATGGAAGAATGTATCAAACACTTGGAGTTAATCACCTGCTCTCCATCCACTTCTCTGTCCACGTAAGGTTCAGAAATATGGTAACGTGTAACAGAAAAGTTGTCAGCACTGTAGGGCTTCACTGCAGGAGTCTTTTTCACTTCAAAATTCTAGGAAAAGTACAAGTACAGCTGTATCAGGAAACAGTATCTCTAGCAAAGCAACTGAACAGAACATAAGCAATCTGTACACTTAAATTCATATTAAAAGAAAGCCTCCCTCCCAAATTCTCTTCTGAAAATACTGTTGTTTAGAACTTTCCATACATTTAATAATTAATAAATCGCATCAGCACAAGGCAGATCTAGATGGCTTAACAACTGAGAGCATGTAACAGCCTGAGGCAGAGTCCTCCACACAAACTGACATTCAGAGAGCTCTACCTTCATGTTTCAAAAGCATTACCTTAGTTTAAAAGCACTCGAGTCTAATGTACTAATACAAATCCCACTTACAACAGCTGTCACACTCACCTCAAAGCAGGGCAACCACAGACCCACAATACAATTACACCTAACAGCAAAATAACACTTCTCAAGTACGGACTTCCTTTACAAAACTCAGAACCCATTAGGTCCAATTTATTAGTTGACCAGAGAAAAGAGCATTTTCCATAACTTCACTGAAAAGTGTCTATTCATATAACAAAGTATTCATTGTTTTGGAAAACATTTTGGGTACACTACCACATTTCAACCCTTGTCTGAAAGAGTTTGAACACTGAGTGACCAGACCCTCCCTCTTTGGCTCCGCCTGATGTTCTCAGTGGCAAGGCAGCCAGGTTAGGTAACCCAGTATTCTGTAGGACCTGCCTTTGTACTTCTAACATCTCCTCCATTGATTTTCTCTCAGCTTCCTATTCCCTAGACTGACTCCTAGAAAAAAAAGAAAAGGATTCTTATCCACATTAACTAAACCAGCAAGTTTAATAGCCCAATCAGTTTTAAAACTAACACGACCGTAAACAACTGCACATACACAAAGAGCAGCATTACGTCTTGGGATTATCTTAAACTTATCTCTGTGTAAGATGAGGCATACAAAATTCCAGTGTTTATTATCTCTTGCTATTTTATAAAAACTGTAAAAAGTGAAGTCTTTAATTTGAAGTTCTATGATATGCAACTAGTTTTAGCTTTACCAACAGAACTTCAGTAACTTATTTTAATAGTTCTTAAGCAAATGTGTGTTATTCTAGTGTGTGTGAAAAATAAAAGCACACCATCAAGATTTTCACTTTTATTTGTACATGATAATGCTGTTTAGAAATTGCTAACTTTCTCAATCAGTAAATTATAGTAATTGTAACAGAGCAACATTAACTGAAAGGCTTGTAGATACTGATTATAGCTGTAAAAACAGACAAGTCCAATGCCTAAGCCTCATTAGCCAGATCAGCAATCGCTTGACCTATACTGTGTTACCTTCAGAATGCATAATTAAACCTCAGCCTTCTGAATTATTAAAAAAAAAAGCAAAACTAACAAATCAGTAATTAAAAATTACATTTAATCAATCAAATCTCCAGAATTCTATTAAAAAGCTGCGAAGATGTGAGAATTATGTTGGAGGCTGCAATTTTCCAATTAATGTCAAAAGTAATTTAGATTGGAAAAAATAATACTTGCAACATTATTACACATCATGGTGGAATCACTGCAGTTAAGAATCCATCTGTACTTCTATCAAGAGGTTTGTAACTACTTGTCATTTTCTCTCTTCCCTCTCCTCCCCTCTTAAACAAAAAAAAAAAAAAGGAAAAAAGAAAACCCGACTCTATAAATGTTATGCATACTCAAGAAGAGTAGAGTAACATTTGTAGGTTCTATTTCCATTACATAAAATCTTGTAGATCATATGAAAAAAATTAAGTTCATAAGAACTCTGTGACACTTGTCAATAAAGCAGTGTTTACAGTTTAACTTCAATTAAGTGATTTAACAGTTGGTCCAACTAAACAAGGCCTCAATTCCTAAAAGCCATCCTTCCGAGAGTTAAACCTGATTATGACAATATATCCAGAGTAAAACCACTTCTTTTGTAACTGGGTAAAGTAACAATAATAGGACTATCTTCAGAAAATGTTTCTTATATTCCAAGTAATCCTGCAACAAACAACACTGCCCTAGCTCCATTTTATGAAATTTTATTCAATTGTTATTGCAACAGAGCATCAGATTATGATTATAGTTATGTTTAATAAGGTCTTTATGTAAATCGATTCAAGAAAATGAGCAAGCTTATGCAGATGACCTTGTAATTTTCTGTAATCACAGGATTTAGAGTAAAGTTAAGCAATTCAAATTCAGTTCTTCTGAGTATTGCATTTGCAAGACAAAGCCCCAGATTTTTTCCCCTCTGAAACTGACAGTCAACATCTTTTGTTTTCTCCCTCTATACAGAACTAGGAATAAGCCGCAGCTCTAATCATCTCCAATCTTTCAATTACTCAGCATTCACCCCATGCAGTACATGGCACCCAGTTACTCTTCCAAGAAAATAAATTTATTCTTCACCCTGTGCCCTCCCAGCAACATAGGCCTATGCCAAAAGGATTAAAATCCGTACCAATATGAAAACTAGGAAAAGGTTCAAAGTCAGCTAGTCTTTATATGGATCAAATCGGCCCGTTGTGTTATATTTAAATACTGCAATGCAATCTCTTTCCCCAAGAAAAATCCAGCGTCTGCAGAATTGTTGATTCAATTTTCCATTATCAGAGCATGAACTTCTTAAGAGAAACAAACCCCATGTATTGTAGAAAATCCAGACGTTGGCAAACTCTGCTAAAATCATGTTTGCTGAAGAGGTGAGTAAAGGACATTTGTTCGTGGGTGGAAACGCATTAAATTGTAGAATTTCAGGAAAGGAAGGTATGATTCTCCAATACTTAAACAGGGTACTAACTCAGACCTGTCATCCAACACAACTGCAAATGCAATGGTACCAGAACCTGGGGAAACCTGAACAGTGTTCTTGCCTGTCCTGGCAAAAAAAAAGACTAAGAATAATAAAATTCTGCATTTGTAAAATGGAAAGAGAGATGTATTACTGAGGTTGCGAGATGAAAAATATTATATAGTACTGTGTCATTTTAGCTGTTACATCATCTACAAATGCACATGTTAACTGCAGCAGACTTAAGAGTCACCAATTAGAAACTTGGGTTATTTTGGGGGGTTTTTTGTTTGTTTTGGTTTTTGCTGTTGTTTTTTAATAGCAGCATAAACCCATCCTAAACTGCAAAGGTTACTAGAAAAGCAATGCTGCAGTGGCTCATGCTTTTCCAACACCACCAAACTGAGCAACACCAGCATCTGAAAACCAGGAAATCAGTCAGTTTTAACTGATACAGTCATCATCTGCTCTACAGCAGATATAGCGGGAACAACATAGAAAACAGCAGCATGAAAGAGCATTTGAATGTACCTCACTGTACCATATAAGACCTTATTCCTTCCGTTCTAAATTCCAGTATTGCATGTGCTTCACCAGAAATAACCCAAAACTTTACCACTCCCTTAACAACACTTGTTTTAATCCTCACTATTATCCAATTTCCACAAAAAGAAAACCCTAGGGCAGCCAGCGAAGAGACCTACACCGAAGCATGTACTAAGGGCTACAAATGAAAGTATGCAGGCACTCCTTCTTCTAATAATTCTGAAAACTGAGGGTCAAACCTTACTCAGTTTTTCCAGATACATGAGTAGCAAACTCTTATCATCCTACACACTAACCTATACATAACACATTGCACGGAGCTGGGAAAAGCTTTGATAACTTCACTGTCTCTGAGAGGGACTAGAATACCTTAAACCTTTCTTTTCTTGTCAGTGGTCTGAATATCCCTGAACCTGACAGGCTACAAGGGCACAACAACACATAAGGCAACTTAAACTCCACATTAATGAAGTTCAGTTAAATTAAATTTACCAAAAGTTAACTCCAAAGTAAAAATGCACACAATGTTCCTCCTGCAGTTCAGATCTGCAATCCTACAGTAACTTCTGTACCTATGCAGAATCCCTCTGAAATCAAAGAAGCATGAAGGAGGTACAAAGTTGCCCCCTAAAAAGGCTACAGCATAGAATTAAAAATATAGGTTTTATCTACTTTCCGCCCCAATAGCCTTAGGCAGGGGTTTCCTATCAAAATTAAACAGCTTAAACCACATTTAGTATTCCCTAGAATAGGGAAACAAAGAATAAAGAAACAAAGAAATCAGAAGGAAAAAAATCCAACAAAAAGCCCACAGCTAAAAAGGTAGAACTATCTTTATTACGGAACTAAACAAAATGTTACTACTGCATCAACATGACGGAAGACTGAGGTGGTGTGTACATGCTGAGAAAGATCATTGTAGAGTTTAATGCCACTGTGGCTATTAAATGAAAATGACTACATGATAAAGTTTAAAAGACACATTAACCACACAAGTAAGATCTCACATGACAAGAAATAAAATCCATGCATAATGAGAGATCAGAAATAAACAAATGCCAAAGCTTAGTAATAAGAAGTCTGCTAATACAGAACTCATTAATTTTCTTGATTTTTTGCTGAACCACTCTCTTTGTAGCATGCAAATAGCAATTCTGGATATCCTGTTGTGAGGAGTCAGGCCAATGAATAAATCATTACGTTCTATGGTACCCTGAAATTGTGATCACTATGGCATCATGGATACATACCTCAAGAGGACGTGGCGGAGGAGGTGGCAGGCTTGCGACTTTGGCTGCTCTTTGTCTTTCCACTTCCAGAGCATGTTTACGTGCATTTGTTCGTCTTGGGGGAAAACACAAAAACAAACAAACAAACAAACAAACAAACAAAAAAAAAAAACCAACCCAAACCCACACAAAAGAGAAAGCTGTGGTTATTCAAGCAACAATGACAACATTGTGCAAAGTAAAAGGCAAACCTAAAAATGAACAGATTCAGATGTACCCGAATTGAACGCTTGGAAGATGGAGATGGACAATCACACTGAGAAGTCAACAGAACTTATGCTGGAAGGCAGCACTGGAAAATTGATGTCTTGAAGCAATGCAAAAATGTTCATACACACAAGCTTCTAAAGAACAAAACAAGATCCCTGGTTTTCACTTAAATTCACAGAAAGCACCGCATCACTTCAACATATTTTAATTGCTCAAGAGTGGACAAGTGGACATTAAGTATTTAATCAACAGGTCTGAGCTCTACTCAAGCACAACTATCCCCAAGAGTACACAGCTCATTTTTTGTGCCAGCTCAAGTTCGGTCCGATCTGCTTAAAAAAAACCAACCGACCAAAAAAGACCCCAAAAACGCTAAGAAGGAAGATCATGACAAATAATGCAATAGGTCGTTTTTCTTCGAGCAGGTAACTCTCCATCAGGAACTGGCCTGAGAACAGTTAATTTCATATGTCACTGAATAGCTGTCAGCCAACAATCTAGACTGAAAATAGCGATACAGAGATGAAAGGCCCCCCACTCACAGAGTCTCTAAGGCCAGCTTGTATACTTGACATTTTTTGTCTTGGATTTAAAACTACAGTTCTTATCAAAATCCATAAGCATTAATTTTCTAACTCATAAAATTTCAAGATTAAAAAATCTCCAAGCAAGAGGCATCAAGATTTTTGCCTTCCATCTTCTGACACTAAAATGCGTTCTATGCTTAATAAAACTATGCAACTATTGCATACCGGGCTTGCTCACGAAGTAATTTTTCTTTTTGGTACTTCTGCTCTTTCAGGGCTTTCCTATGTCTCTTCTCTGCTCTTTGTTTCCTTTCCTCTGCTTGCTTTGCCAGAGCTTCTAAGTCAGGTTCCTTAACAATAAAATATTGCAAGCACTTAATACAGGATTTTACTCACTTCTCATATTATCAGTGTGATATCTCAAATTAATTTTGCTTTCTCTGCCATTTTCTTTATTCTCTTCTCTACCACCACCAGCAGCAAATTTGCCACATTCCTCAGCCAATGTAACCACATATTGATGTAGAAACCTCAACTTCTCTCTGTATCTTTTTTGGCGAGAGGGTAATATAAATATACTTACACATTTTAGCAAACTGAACTGTACAGACAAAGCATGTTACTACCTTTCAGTCATTAATTACAACAGTCGTGTATCAACAGAAACATTTCTTTATGATTAGTTCTCTGTTCCTATGGCATTGGTACCATACTTTTCCACAAACTCATCCATCCTAGCATCAGAAAGGACTTTACAAAGAAGCTGATGTAGAGACACTGAGTTATGGAAAAGTATAATGCTCTTTTACTTGGGTGAGAAAGCCTGACTAATTCAGGAAGTAAGGTTGTCTGCAAAATTCACACAAGAAATCTGTGGCACCGCTGATTTCTATAAATCAGGTTCATAGTCAAATCTATTGAAAATTTCTACCCAATAACCTCAATGATCACTCATAGAGAGCCTACACAAGTTATAGGGCTTTAAAGAAAGCAAAAATAGTTTAAAGGTCCAGAACTAAGACCAGTGTGAGGTCTGAGCAAAGGCCTCTGAAGCCCTTACCAAGATATTCCACGTCACTCATGCACTAAAGGAAAAAAAAAGTTGTGTATTTTCTTAATCATAGAAAAGATACTGTTACACAACAGAGAAAAAGGTTACTGAATTACTGGCATACTTGAGACAATGATGCACCATGAGCATTTTAGTAAAGTACAAACATACACTATCATATATGTGTACAATCTAACACAAACAAAATAACTTTAAAAGGTTGCACAGCAAAAGCCTTAGCAGATGGGCCTGCTAGAACATTTAATCCTGGTCTAGTGGAAAGGTTAACTTAAAAAAAGCACATAAACATTTCTAAGAAGTTTCCATTCTTAAAAAGCTGTTGGTTTAGGTGTTAGGACTGCAAGATCAGTAATATAAAAAAACCAAACAGCAATCTTGGTATTTCTAGAACACCGAGAATTTCTCTGACAACAATATTAAGCTCTTTTACTTACGTTCTCCTTGGCTTGTCGGTGACCCTCACCAATCGCTCTTAAGCTTGATAAATACAATTTTTCTAAGGCTTTCATCTTTTCATCCTGTGCTTTCTGCCATTCAGCTCTCAGTGCCTCCTCTAACTGACGCAGTTGTTCTTCTCTCCTCTGCTTTACTTTCTGTCTTATCTGCAAGGCGATATACTTCTGTTGCTCTCTAACCTGTAGAAATATCATTTATGCTTTGTCAGCAACTTAAAAAAGCACAATATTTTTGCAGCAAGTCTTTCCACAACATACTCTACCCTCCTTTCAGCTTCCCATCTCATCTCCTATTCCATTAACAATCTGCCCAGACATTCTTTAAAGCTGCTGTTACCTTTTTGCAAAATTAATTTTTAAAAAGTAAATTTAATCTTCGTTAAATGTTTCAGTTAAAGTCCAACTGACAAACAAAATGCAAAAAACTGCCTGGAACATCCTTCCCTCCAAAAATACAACACAATAATTTATTAAAGACTCCTATTATAATGCAACATGGTGTAAAGAAAATCAGCAACTACTGATTAATTAAAGTCTGTTCACTAAGTTTCAGTTTCCTACTTTGTCAGTGACACTCTTTGCTAAAGAGAAAAACATATCAAGAAAAAAGCCCAACAAAGGTGAAAGGTTAGTATATAGCAAACATCTTGAAGATGAATATTTTTTGAAGATGTGAAAGACCTGAACAGCTTCTGTAGGACAAACCACAGGAAGGCTAAGAAAAGAGTAAGAAAAGAAATGGAGAAATAGCCCTGTGTTCTAACAGCGGGACAGCAGAAGAGAAACAGAAGAAAGACGAGTACCTTAATTCTTCAGAACATGTCTGTACATCAACTCATACATTCTAAAAGGAGCAGACCTTAAAGCATTTAGAGCTGTGAGCGTGGTGAGGCACTGGAACAGGTTGCCCAGAGAAGCTGTGGATGCCACATCCCTGGAAGTGTTCAAGGCCAGGCTGGATGGGGCTCTGAGCAACCTGATCTAGTGGAAGGTGTCTAGTGGGGGTTGGACTAGGTGATCCTCAAAGATCCCTTCCAATCCAAACCACTCCATGATTCTATGACATATTGTAGCAGTTCAGTTCCGTCTAGTGAAAAGCTGTGAAGTTCTGTATTAGCAGTAGTAGTCTTATTTCTTCTGCATGATCACTGTGAAAACACCTGGAACACTGTAAGAAGTTTGAATCCTTCAACAAGTGACACATCAGCAGAAGAGAGACAACTGCACGTTCACAGCCAAAAAAAACCCAGTTGATACCATGAAGCCGGCAGGGAAGAAGAGATTCTGGAACAGAGGTCAAAGTGAACCTAACTGAGAAGGTATCAAAAGCAGAATATGCACTAAGTAGTAAATAAACATGAGAAAAGGAAAAAAAATTACAAACTAAATGCAAACATAAGATACAGTATTATGACCCTGAAATTTAGTTTACATTAAATAAATTTTCAGTTAATTTTCCTAAATTATTTGTTATATCATTAAACGAAATACACAACACGCAAAAACACAGGCATACTTGCTGTAGCCTCAGTTTTCTTCTTCTTTCATATTCTTCCTTCAGAAGCGTGGTTTCTTCATTAGGACTAAGCCTCAATTTCCCAACTTTTGCAACTTTCCTCTTCATCTTTGGAAACACTGAATAATCAACTTCTAGAAGAACAACATGAAAAACAGAAACTGTGAATAAATGACATGGGTAAATCAGCTACAAAAACCAGATACTGCCATAATCTTACAAATCTATCATGGTACCTAGGAGTGTGAGCTACATCTGTTCACATCTGTTCCAGCTGTACCCAACAACAGTGGCACTGTCTTTCTCAATGTCACAAAAGGCACTGGCTTTGAATTACTATGTTATGTAGCAAACTCTGCAACAGCACTACGTTCACTTTCTATGCCTTGGACCAGACAGGCACATCTCCAAAGTGAATAGCGAACACCATTCCACTCCTGGGAAGATAAAAAAACCCCACCAAAACAAACCAACTAGGAAAACCACCCCACACAGTAAAGCAGGCTGGTCACTTAGGCAATTCGTATTGAAATAGTCTCATAACAATTATAAGATATAAGATAATGAGTTTGTTAACATTTTTGACTGCAGTCCAAGGTTTTCTGCCTTGAAGACTGTGAAACTCGTGACACCAGTCTGCATGCCAAGCATTTCACTAGAACACTAAAACTGCTCACTGGCATTTTTTTATTTGAGCTCTCTTAAGCCGCCATTTCAAATGATGTTTCCCTGTAGATTTTCCTGTGGAACCAGGATCTGCTGGTTCCACAGATGGCTTCCCATTTTCCTCACAGTTATAACTTTTATCTGCACAGCAAAAAAAAAGACTTTTTCAGCTTAACATGCAGCCTAGTCCAAAACTGCCCCCCCCAATCTTTACTTGATCTTTAAATATTTGTATCCTTCAAAATGCTCTCCCAAAACAAACCAAAGACTTTCAAAAGTCACTGTTCCGTTCTAAAAATCAGAAGCTTCTTACTAGCAAACATCCACGTAGCACTAACAGTTTAACCAACGTGTTACACCTGGAAAGATTTCTTTTCAACATCATAAATAAAAAAAAAAAATAACAAAAGTCTAAAGAAATCAGGTGAGGTGCAAAACCGAAAAAATTATCCGTAAGATACTTTTGGTCGAGGGTTTTTAAGCCAATGAATCCCAAGTTCATCACGGGATACACAGGGCCAGAACAGCGTGGTTCCTGGCAGCCTTCCCGGATTCCGCTGACGAGGTAAAACACAGAAGTTTATCAATACGCGTAATCAGGGAGAAAAGGAGTACATTCCTCCTCCCAAGAAAGGAAAAACGTAGAGGATGAACAATACGAAGCCCAGATCTAACACCTGAAGGGTAACAGCAGAAGCAGATGACGCAACCGCCACAGCAACCGCCGCCGGCGCGCATTCAGCCGCGGTACGAGGCCATCAGGAAACACGCGCCCGTGC